TTCGTTTTTCAAAAAATCCCTGGACCCCCCCCTCAGGGATGGTCTGGTCAAAAATCACAATTTTTTCGATAACTCAGTCATTTCTTGACGGATCCTTCTCATCTTCGAACTCGACCGAGATATTTTAAAGACTGAACTGTATAGAAAATTTCATCGCGATCGGACTCTCCTTTCAAAAGTTATCGTGTTAACGACCGGACGGCCGGACACACTGACCGATTCTAGAGTGTACTCACTTTTTGAGTACACAAAAAGGACAGATCTATTACCAAGTATATTGGAATAATCTCTATGACAGTAAATCTCTCCTACGGATGAAACCAATAACGATTAATGATGAACTTCGTTCAACAAAACCATGTTATTTCATATTTTATCTATACAAAGCAAAATATGATCATGAGCTGGATTGAAGTCAATCGATTTCTATAGAATAATAGATGATCTGAGAAACAATACACTCCTATTTACAAGACTAGTTACTTTAGGATACGAATGGTGTTGAAATTTCAAAACGTTATTGCTTAAACTATGACAATATCCAATTACATGGAAGAAGACTCACAGTACAAGAAAATTTGAAGGAATATACAAAAGCTAAATATTCTATCTCACGTAACAGTTAAAATGTAGAGATTGTTGAGTTTCATCTAAGGAGGACAAGTTTAAAAATTCCGGACAAAGTTAGGAAGTACTCCAATGTGTAAATCATCATATTGGAAATCATGAGAATCTTGTTAATACTAGAAACGTTTAAAAATCCAATACATACACTGCACACCATGAAGTCTGACAATTCAGCTGCTCGACCATGTTTATACTCTTAAAGGCTCTGATAGTGTTTGGGTGAAACTATTTTGATTATGCATTGAATTAATATGAATAGATGTTCAGATAGAAATCATTGGCAAAACTATGTTTTGCATAGCTCATCTTCAATTATTTTCATCATTTTTCGCAGTACACTTCAAAATGGTCACTTCTAGTAAACAGTATTGTTGGAAAAATATCTGGATGACATTGAATAAGTCTACTATTTCCTCTTTGTATTTGTTTAGGTACAAATAATAATGGTGACAACTTTGGGGGGAAACTTGCAGGGATTATTGTCGGTAGTGTTCTTGGTGGACTATTTATTATCTGTTACTGTTGTTGTCTTTGTATATTGTGTGCATTGTCCTTCATTGCGTGGTACGAAGGTACTCCAATTCTTTCCAATAAGTCTTACGTGCAAAGCGGACTTGGCATATATCGTGACAAAAGTAACATTATCTTTCAGCCTGGTTCATTCTCCAGTTATTATCTCAAAGACGGTGCATCGAATGGACCTTATGATTTAGTGCTTGGATTCTATCCCCAAGCCAATCATATTGTGCATGGTAGAGGAAGAGACAATGTCGGCTTGTTTGTTATGACTGGTGTTTATTCACCAAGAACTCTTCGAATGGGCCTTGAAAAACGTTATCAAAAAGGAACAGGAAATCCTGACCGAAACTTCGGTCATACAGCAATCGTTCAAGTTGAATGGAATGAAGCTACGCAGAATTTCGAAGGCAAATACTATTCTAAAGCAGGAAAAAATCGTGACGAACAAAAATATGTTATTCATCCCAAACGTCCAACTTTCAATCCATATCGATACTGACTTTTTTCAATAATTCATGAACGAAATCGAAATATGCGTCATGAATACTCATGAACTACTCAGTGCTGCCACCTCTTCTGCTTTTAGCAGAAAAATTCTGCTTTTTAAAGATTTTTCTGTTTTTTTCTGTCCTTTCTGCTTTTCAAAGATTTTTCTGCTTTTTTTAATATTAGGTCATTCATATTTTTAATCAATAACTCTCATCTGAATGATAATTTTTCGAATTCTAAAAATAAATTT